TGAAACCTATAAATACTGTGAGGCGCGTACAGAAACCTACCTCCGACGATGCAAGCCTGTACGGTTTCTAAACATCAAGATATTATACCTATTATTCCCATGATCGCCTCTAATTCTCATTCATGTCCGGGATACGTATTTTCGCTTCAATCAGCAATATATGTATATGCTAAGAAATCATGACGTACCGCATCATCGACAAGCTGAGGGTCCGTCCAAGTGGGAGGGTCAGGCTCCACCAATCCCACCAGAGCTGGGTTGACGGTCGGCTGACTGGTCTGAATAGCGTACTCAATCCGAAATAGGGCATTAAGCGGTTGATGCAGCGTGCGTTGGTCGTACGCGTTGGTGAACTGTCGCTGCTGATGCTGCTGTTGAGAGGCAGCACCCCGGAGCAGGGTCTCTTCACTCACTTTCCACACCATGTACACAGCCAGATTGTCAAACAGTATCTCCACACGCGGTGTCATTTCGCTTGTCGTGGCTGCAGAGGGAAAAAAGAAGGTAGACGGTGGTGGGAAGGACAATTGATTGGAGGAGGGCAACAACTTTGCCTACGAAAAGCCAACTAGGCACCATAAGAGCCAGCGAGAGCCCCAGTACTAGTCTCTGGCACAGAAACACACCTATAATGTTGAGGAGTCCCAGGGGGGTCTAAGCCAAATTCAAGCGCAACTGCCAATTATAGTCGTTTGACTCACTTGGGAAAAACAAATCGGCGGATCACTTGACCCAAGTGTGACTGCTAAAGCGTTGGCTGTACTGAAGCCTTCTCCTTGCTGGCCTGGGTTCAAGGCTCACCGAGGTCACCGATTTCTTTCACAGTTGGGTCCAATGCACTATTCAAATCTACCACCTTGCTCCTCGTAATTAAGTGTGCCCGGTATTCATCTGGTGGATTCTACGTTGATTGCTCGGGGAATCCGGCTTGGGCAGTAAGCTTACCGTATCAGAATTGATGGACTCCATACGGCGCAGTGAGCTGGAGGTAAGTTGACCCAAGTGTGATCAAACTCACGGCTCCCGGTGGGGCCTCGTAGCTCAGTTGGCTATACTAAAGACCCCTCTTCTTCCTGCTGACGTGAGTTCGAATCCTACCGAGGCCCCACCGAGTTTTTTCACAGCTGGGACAAGAGCAGGCGTCACCACTGTCGTTAGGAGACACGTCTGCTGGGCAGATTTAACACAAGGAGCACATTTGTCCCTAAACGAAAAGTGCGGTGTGACTCAGTACAGAGTCAGAGCGGTCTTCGCTGAGAGCCACTTCTCAGTCTGCGAATTTTCAGTGAAAATAAAAGCACTGCAAACCGCATCGCTAATTCACGAGCACACGCACGTTAAGAGGAAAAAGTGCGATCATCAGCACTGACCTCTGATTGGACGATGCCGAGGGCATGAAGACTGTACACGGTCTGGGAAAAAAAAGAAGACTACCAACTGACCTCCGCGCGCATGCCTAATTCACGGGAGTTGACTATACACTGACGCAAAGTTCTAGCAGAAAGCTCTGGGCTCTTCTTATGGAATTAAAACTGCACGGCGTCTAAGTATTATTAGATAGACCCTTCTGTTGAAAACCTGCGTAGGCATTGCAAAATGGTTACATTTTTAGTGTCGTAATACGGTAGTCACCGGTTATTAAGCCCACGGTTAATAGGCCCAGCCGCGTATTAAGC